GCCTCCATTGGCAGGACTGGACAGCCCAGCCAACAAAAAGTCCCTGGTACCCTCAAGAAGAGGAAAGCCCAGGTAGAGTCTGATGAGACCAACTTGTTCCAGAAGCCTACATGGACCGGATGTCAACAGTTCGCTCTGATCCTATATGGAGTATTCCAACGAAGCCAGCTAAAAATTGCTGCTTAGTTATTCTGCCCTGTGATTTTGTGCAAAAATAGGCAATATGGTTTAAAAGTAGATTTAGTTTGCAAACTTTTGCTATGCTGTTCGAAAAATTTGGGATCAAGGTTGAGAGAATTTGTTTTTACATAAGTTGAACCATTTTAAGATTTTTTTTCCTGTGATTTTGATATATTTGCTGTCTTGTTCTGGCTAACGCCTCCAGATGTTTTTTTTTTTGGCTTGGACTGATGAACTGTTTTTCCAGGACTGGAGGACTTTTGCTTTCCACAATGGACAATACCTGGAGGGACTGGTTTTCTTTCACACTGGAACCCTGGAAATTTTTCAGCTGAGACTATATCCCAGCATCCATATGTTTGATCTTCATCACCATGGAAATGGTGGCACAAAGTGAAAGGGGGGAATTGTTAGGGGGAAAGGATGTCCTGAGCTAATCCCATACAGGCTTTGTGGACTCCATGCTCTACAACACCCCCACTCCAGATTAAAGCCATCAAGACATTGGGAAAGACAAATCCCGTCACCACCAAAGGGAGGGTGGCTGGGACCTGAGGGTGGAGTTGGGCAGCCAGGTTGGATATAAAAACCAAACACATGGGCCTTGGGCTGGCTCGCTGTCGCTCGCCTCCTGGCTACACAGCTCCTGGCTCATGGCCAGCTCTCAGAGCGCCATTTTGGGATTCCTGATCGGCGGATCGGGTAGGACTCATTTAAAACTTTGTCTCCCACTTTTCTCCCTGAGCTGTACATTTCCTCATTTCCCCTTCCCTTGTAAACAAACCTTTTATTAACCTTTCGCGTGTGCCTGCAGTAGAGCATTGATAAGTCCTTTTAAGCGCGCGGGTGAGGACCCACAGTCAGGCACCCTGTTTTGTATCAGGGTTGCTCTACAACAGGTTCACCCACGCACTTACGCAACACAGGCACAATGCTCCCTTTTCTGATTCTGTCCTGGGGCTTTCCACCCTCTGGAAATGCAATCTTCAGAGAGGCAGCACAGGTTTCTGCCCAGCGTGGGAGAGGCGAGATTATCTCCACCAGGAGGTAAGGAGAGTCGACCGTAAAAACCACCACTGTGCAGTCAAAGTTTAGCAAAGAAGAAATTTATTTATTTATTTATTTTTAAAGATTTGTTTATTTATTTATGCAAGCACTGGGTACAGTCAGAAGCGCGGGAGGGTGAGAGAATTCACCAGAGCCAGAGTGGGGAGCAGAGCAGGCAGAAGGATCGAAGTACACTGCTGAGGGGAGCAGCGGGCGGCAGGAGAGGTCTGCGCGCCATGCAGGACCCTCCTCCGGTGGCCGGGGAGCAGCCGGGGATCGAACCGGCGCTGCAGAGGCTGCGGGCAGCTTCGCAACCCAGCACTCAACCGCTGCGCCACCAGGGAGGCCCAAAGAAGAAATTTATTAAAGAGATTTTTCAGAGACCAAGTGAAAACCTGGGCCAGAAGGCCAATATAAGATTTCTCAGAGCGACTGGTCCTCACCCTTTGGTTTTGGCCTCAATTTATATCGACAAATCACATGTACAGAATACATAGCTTTTATTTTATTTTATTTTTTTAAATTTTTTTTTACCTTTTATTTTTTTAACAAAAGAGACATCTAGTTGATTTTTATAATTTTTAGTTAACTAACGGAGGTTGGTTTCTCGCAAACTTGGCTGATTGGCAGAGGAGAAACAAGTTCATAACTTCAGAGCAAGCCCTTGATCTGACGGAGCTAGTTCAGCCAGAGCTGTCTGTGTTTGGGAAGACGTAAGGGCAAAGCTTATTCAAATCGCTTATCCTTTTCACTTTTTTTATTTTAAGATTTTATTTATTTATGCATATAAGAACTGGGGTATAGGCCAGAGGTGCGGAGGATGAGAGGATTCACCAGAGACAGAGTGGGGAGCAGAACAGATGGATCTACTGAAATACACTGCTGAGGGGAGTGCGGGCGAGATGGGAGAGGTCTGCTGCATCATGTGGGCAGCTCCCTGGCTGGGCCTTGTGCTACAGAGGCTGCGGAAAGCTTCACAGTGCTGTGCTCAACCCCTTGCGCCACCAGGGAGGCCCATGAATCACTTATCCTAAAAGTGCCCCTGGGGCAGACACCAGGCTGTATCTCATGCTCCTTCTTTCGACAACTCGGCAAACACAACAGGGGCTCAGTCTGTGGACTCTTTCAGGGTTCTTCACGGTAAACAGGAATCACTGGTATACTGACTCCAACCGCTGGACGTGGCCCTGGTGGGGCAGAGGCAGACATTTTCCAGCAGAGCGAAGAAGGAAAACCTAGAAGAAGGAGCACTGAAGCTGAGCCCAGAGTCCAGCGAAGGAGGAGAGGAAGTGAGTTCTGGGCAAAGGTTGCCCGATGGGCCACCCCTGGGAAGTAAGATGGGAAACAGCTCCTTGCTGCTATGTGCCCTGCTGGCCAAGGGGAGGCCTAACACCAGCCGTCCCTACTCACACACTCCCTGTCACTCTCCATAGGGTCCTGATTGACGCCCCCCCAAGCATGTTCACATTGGGGAACTATGAGGTCGAGAGGGAAGGGCCGGAGCAGAAGGTGAGTCGCAGAGGCAGGCCAGGGCTAGGCCCCATGGTCCAAGGTCACTTTAAATACGTTCTCTGACCTCAGAGGGGAACACTCCTAGTCCTTTCATTTTGGGCACCAGCCACAGACCATGAGTGGTGACGAGGAGACCGGAGTGCTAGGACTTGGGGTAGAAACACCGTCAAGAGTGGTTCAGCTTTACTACAAATTTCACTTCCAGGACCAGCAAGAGCTTGGGGGGAGAGCAGTGCCTGCTGTCACACAGGAGCAGGTGCTGTTTCACAATCCCTGCACAACACAGTGACGGGAGCATCGGCAATTCATTGTCTCTCGCGGTTCCGCGTGGCGCCAATCTGGGCAGGTCTCTTGTTGGACTGCTGTTGGCTGCAGCCACGGGCAGCCAGATGGGGCTGGAAGGGCCATGGTGGTCACCTCTCACACATGCCGCTGGGCTGTTGGCTGAGGAGGCACCATTATTTTCTGCATCTGGCTGCTCCAGTAGGCCAGAGTGGTCCCAGCAAGGTGGTCTCAGTGTTCTGAGAGGGCAAAGGCAGAAACTGCATGCTCCTTAAGCCCAAGTCTCTGCAGTCACCTGACATTCCTTCTGGCACATTCTGTTGACCAGTGCCAACCCCAGACCAGTCCAGCTCAATGAGGTAGGGGAATAGACGCCTCCATGTGAGCAGGGGAGCAGCCATGTGACACTGCAAAGGCGTGGGGTGCAGGAGGCACAATTCTCAGGGGCTCTGAATTCAGATGGTCCACCATGGCAGCCCCATCAGAGCCCTTTTACTAAGTGAGAAAAGCAGGATGGAGACTGAAGGGATTTCTCTATCTGAAGCAAGGGCTCCCAAAGCTGAAACAAGGTTTTGGCTGCTTTTCGCCAGAGATTTGTGGGCCTGTTTATAAGTAACTTTGTAATCATACGAGGGCCATTGGTCTCTAGAAATTATGTGCATCCTGACCCATCATAAAGCTCTTATCTGGCAGAATTCAGCACAAACTTTCAACTTAAAGATAACAGCATGGACTCTGAGCCCACAAGACCTTAACTGCCCCTCCGAAGACAGGGCACTAGAGAGACAGGGCCCCTTACTTTCCTGGGTCAGTTAAGGGCTTGGAGAGAGATTGCACTCTCATATCTTCCCGTTGAAGGAAGATGAAAAATATTTTTAATGAATTTTTAAGTCAGGGGAGGAAACCATGCCCACACCTCTAAAGGTGAGATACAGTGCGGTGTCCCCAGGGCCTCAGCAATTCACCTTTTGGTGACATCATGTTGCACTTGAATAAAATCAAAAACACCTCACTCTGGCTTGCAAAGCCCCAGCCTCGCCTGTGCTACCTCTGACTGGAAATCTGCCCCTACTTGAGCCAGGTGTTGCCTCTCCTGGGGATCCTTCCCTTACATCCCTGAGTGGAACTGAGCCCGTGTTCCTGCCCGTCATGTCTGGGACAGACGTCCCCTGAAGCCAGGATGTTCTTGTACCTCACTGACTCTTGGGAATCGCCATTCTTGTCAACGAACATGCCAGCGATTTCATGAGGTCCACCTAGCACTGTAACAGCTAAGCAACAGCCACTGTCTCCCACACCTGTGGAGTCAGTTGGGTTTGGAGTCCATTCCCTTTGTACTTGTAAGGGCTCAGGTAATTGGTTTGTTCTCTCTCAGCCTCAGATGCCTCATAAGTGAAAATCAGTTACGCTGAAAGAGGAAGTGGTGGCCACTGAGCAGAACTAGCATGAACATTAGAAAGGGTACATGTGAAAGTGGGCACAGTGGTGACTGCATCGGGGAAGGTATGTGAGAGGGGCAGAGAGCGCGCTCTTGAAGAGGGAGAGGCCTACCTGCCAAAACTTTACCCACACAGGCCATGGGTAGCAAAGGCTGTCAGGGTTCTGCCTGGAGCCCCGTGGGCTCAGCCAGGAGCTACGCCACCTCCAAACTTCCCACTGGTGTGACCTCTACCCCTGTGGACACCGCAGTCTACTCTGCCCAGATTCAGGGTAGGGACTGAACCCCCTTCCCACCAAGAGCAGTCCTTGGCCAGTAACTCAGTGGTGCTGGGGGATGCACCCCCCAGCTCCTTCTCTCCTCCGCTGGGACCAGGTTGTCGGGTTGTTCTACTCTATTGCCCAGAACCCCTCTTTGGGGTTACCCTCCAGCGGTGCACAGTGGTACACTCATTGCCTTCTCCTCTATGCCTCATGCTGTTCTTCTATTGGTACGTCCTATGGCCGCTCTTAAAGAAAGTTTTCCCTAAATTTTGGGAAAATTTATATATATTTTAAATTTATCTTTTAAATTTATAATTTATAAAATTATAATTTATCTTTACACATATTCCAAAAAGGCACAAATTCAATTGATTAAGTCACCATTGTTTGCAATTGTAAGAGGTTGAAAATAACATATGAAAAGGAGCCTGGTGAAATACAGCATGATTCACCCACACAATGGAATATTATGCAGCTCTAGCAAAGAATGCAAAAGTACTTAATGTGTTGATATGAAACCACGTCGGAGCTATATAAATTTTAAAAGCTATGTGCAGAACAGTGTAAATGACATATGGTAACTTCTGTGTAAAAAAGCTGTGTGTGGGGGCATGTGCTTACGCGTGCACACACGCACGTGTTTGCATACGCCTGGAATCTTCGTGAAGGAGACCCCAAAATACACAATCTTGACTGCCCTTTAGGAGAGAACTGAACAGCTGGGGCAACAGGCTGGAGACTTCACCACACACTTTCCTGAGTCTTTTGGTTTCTCTACGGACAGGTTTATCCATTCAAATAGCGAAAAGTAACGTTAAAATAATAAATAAATGGCTAGACATAGGGAGGTGCATCCTTGCTCAGTGGACAGCCTGGCTCTAGTGGAATGGCCTCGGCAGGATCCTGCCAGCCGACCAGATGCTGGTTCCACGGGCTTCTCGGGCAGGCTCAGTCCCGCTGCGGGGGTTGCTGCCACTCAGCGTGCTTGTCCACAATGCGAGCCGCACGTCCTTCAGCAGGGAGAGGCTCTGCTGCATTTCCCTGTATGTCCACCTACAAGAGCTGCCATCACCTATGTCCAGAGGAAGGCCAACCGCACCTTCATCCCCCCAAGGGAGGCCCAAGCCACCCCCCTCTGCCTGAGAGGTTGAACGCACTTTCCCCGTGCCCGAGACATCTGAGCCACACACACAACTCACACACATTCATGCGCACGCCGGCACGCACACACGCCCGGATGGAGACCCAAGCAGGTCTTTCCTGCACGGACGCCGCTGCCCCAGTCGCCTACAGGACGCATCTGTCCAGCAGCCCGGGAGCCCAGTGCTGGGCCAGACAATCCTGTGGGGCAGGAGGGGAGCGTTACTGGGACGGGGCAGCTTCAGCTGTGGCTTCACTCATCTTGTCCTTGTACTGCCTTTTGAAGAAGCCGACCTGCGGGGGCAGAGACAGGAGTCAGGGCACTGCAGCCAGGGAGCAGGCAGGGGAAGACAGTGGAGGTGGGGTGAGCACAGGGAGGGAAACAGTGAAGAAGGAGGAGGAGCGGAGAGGGAGGAGAGGGCGGAGGGAACTGCTGTCTACAGAGCTCACGGTGAAGAAACTAAGGCACAGAGAGGCTCTGCAACTTGCCCCGGCTCACACAGCCAGCAGCCCCCCTGGAGTGGGACCCGCGAAGGAGCTGCCCAGTGAGAAGCAGTGAGGGCGCGGGGAGCAGGCAAGGGGCACTGGGGATACCTTGTACAGTACAGCGGTGATGAGGGCCAGGAGCAACAGCCCCCCCACTGAGCTGCCCGCGATAAGGGGGACAGGTCGGTGTACTTCAAATGGCTCCACCTTGGTCTCTGTCTGCGGAGGGGAGAAGGGGAGAGGTACAGCAGGGGACACAGACTCTAGATTTCTAAGGGTGCCCAATTAGAACCCAGTGACGAACCCCCAGTCCCTCCTTATGCCCCATCCCCGTCCTCACTTCTCTCTCTCTCTCTCTCTCTCTCTCTCTCTCTCTCTCTCTCTCTCGCTCTCTGCACCAACCCAGCCTCCCCTCTCCCCCCAGTGGTCCCTTGCACCCATGACAGATACCTGGGCCCTCACAAAGTTCTCCTGTCCTAGAGGCAGGGCAAATGAGGACCTGTCAAACAAGATCTCCACAGTGCTGACGAGCTGAAGGTGGTTATGTGGAGTCTGTGGAAAAGGCAGTGTGGGAACTGGGCCCGCGGCCCCTGCAGGGCCCACCTGTGCCCACTGAGCCTCGGCCCCCTTTTACCTGGATATACCAATCAAAGGAGAGGTTGCCCTTGAGGGTGACGGTGAAGTCCTCCTGGACACCGAAGGATGGGATCTTACACTGGATTTTCAGGCAGATGGCGACGGAGCAGTTCTGGGAAGGGAGGAGAGGACTCAGACAGCTGGGCGCGGGCCAGGCCTGCGTGCTCCACCCGGGGAAGGCGCTGGGCCCCTAAGGCACAGCACGGGTCTGCATGTGGCCCGAGGCCAGGATGGGGCTCATCCTCACCAGCATTGGGGCCTTCTTAAGCTGCTCCAGGAAGTCAGAGCGAGGAGGAACCACCTGCTCCTTGCTGCACTTACTGGAGATGTACTGAGGAGAGAGACGCCATGAGAAGACAGAGAAACGAGGTCAATCCACACAGAGGGCGAGGTGGCCTCCGTGCAGGAGCAGGCAGAAATGGCTCCGAAATCCAACAGAGAGGAGACTTCGGGGAAGACCAGAACAGCAGGGGAGCGCTGGGCTCTCTCTTCAGGCCAGCTGGGCTTACCTCGGAGATGACCTGGGGGTCGTTCCACACGGCCACCTGGTTCAGCTTGATAGGGACCCAGAAGACCACGGTGATGGGGAGGCTCCTCTGCCCCAGGTTGCGGAACTGCATGTGGGAGGCGGGATCAGGGCTCTGCCCCCACCAGCAATGAGAATCAGCCTCCCCCCAGCCCAGCCCCCTGAAAAAGGCCCCGCAGACCCTTGTGTTGCCTCATGACGCTTTCTGGGGTAGGGAGTGGGGAGCAGTAGTGACACACTCCAGAGCAGTCTAGCTGGTCTCAGGTGGTGCCCTTCCCCTTACTAGCAGGGAAACTGTTCTGTTAACTTCCCTGAACACCAATTTCTTATAAATGATAGCGCCTCTGTCATGTCATTGTGAGGATAAACTGAGCTAATTATGTGTCTGTACACATAGGTATTTGTGCTAATGTGTGCATCGAGAGAGAGGACCAGGGACAAAGCCTGGCACGCGGTAGGGATGCACATTCCTGTCACCCCCAGGCCTCCTTCCCCACCTGATACTGATGCTGAACCACCCGGCTGGTCTTCTCTGAGGCAGTGAAGTTGAGATATTTGGTGGAGGCATCATAGCTGATGGGAGGAAGAAGGGGACAGAACATCAGGGGTATCCTGGGAGGCAGCTCTGGGGTACACATATCAGGGGGTACACAGGCACATGTGTGAGGCTTCCCTGAGAGGGTGGGAGCAAGGTGGTGTGCAGGATCACACACACCAACACACGCATCCACACATCACACATGAACATATATCCTCAGACACACACACAGAGTCACACATGTGCACAGACTTGCACACACAGATGCACAAGCCTGTGTCCAGCCTGGGGGACGCTGAGTCGAAGCCCAGAAGCCAGCACCTGGCAACCACCATGTAGACGGTGTATTTCACAGGCAGCTCCAGCTGGAACTCGGTTTTGCTGGTCCTGGGCATGTTGTTCTCACTGAGGGGAAATGACTCTGGTCAGCTTTTTTTTTTTTTTTAAGATTTTTAAAATTTATTTATGCATACAAGAACAGGGGTGTAGGCCAGAGGTATGGGTGAAAGAATTCACCAGAGTCAGTGGGGAGCAGAACAGGCAGACTGACTGAAATACGCTGCTGAGGGGAGCAGCAGGCGAGGCAGGAGAGGTCTGCTGTGCCATGTGGTCAGCTCCCTGTCCGGGGATCGAACTTAGGCCACAGTGGCTGGCAAAAGCTTGCTAGTGCTGAGACTTAACCCCTGTAACCTGGTCAGCTATTGAGGATGGAGAGACTCTGCCTTCTCCCTCTCCCTCTCCTTTCACCTGTGACAGACCACCAAGTCCTACTGCTCCCTCCCATCAGCACCATTGAGCCCAGGCCCAGCTCTCCTCACTTGGATATCTGCAGAACCTCTTCTCCCCGGTCCCTGAATTCAAAACTATTCCCACCCCCTCCACACCTCCTGAAGGGTGATCTTTCTAGCAGGTAAGTATCATCATGTCACTCCCAAGTTAAACTGCCAATGTCCCGGTGACACTCACTAGTCATTTGACAACACGGCACACATCCAACAAGCTCCCCAACCCGGGACTATGGCTCAGGCCACACTTAAACACAGCCTGACCTTTCCAGCTCCAGGCTTTGCTTGCACCTGCTTCCTTCTTTCTGTCTTCCTTCCCTCCCTCAATTCGTGCCTTTGCTTGGCTAACTCACAGCCTAAAGAGATCTTCTTCAAGAACGTCTCTCAACACAGGCTCCCGGGACACTGGACACTGTACCTCACACTATATTGTAATCGTCACCTCTATCATCTATCTTTGTCCCTAAATTGTGGCCTCTGTGAGGGCAGCTGTCTTGTTCATCGCTGTCCCCCCAGCACCGGCATATGGTGGGTGCTCAGCTGGTTTAGTTTGTTGAATGAATGAATAAACTGAAGGGACAACCAGTGAGGAGAAGACAAAGGTCCAGCCTGGGCAGGGTGTGGGACATCGAAGGGGAGGATGCTTGGGAGGCCGGGCACGGCGCACCTGGTGACGTTGGCCTTGAGGAGAAGCCTTTTTCCAAGGGCTGCATCAGGATTCACATCAAACGTGATATTAAAGACGGCCTGGATTGGAGAAAGGAGAGACAGGGATAAGGATGTGAGAGAGAAAAACAACCCATTACTCAAGGATGGATAAATAAAATGTGGTACAGTCCCGCAAGAGAATATTCGACAGGAAAAGGAGATGAAATGCTGGGACATGCTGCAACGTGACAGCCCTTGACAGCATTACACAAGGAGGAAGGAGCCAGGCACAAAGGCCCACGGATGCAGGGCTCATCCGAGATGTCTGGAGGAGACAGGTCTCCAACCAGAAAGCAGATGAGTGGTGGCCGGGGGCCGGGAGAGAGGGGGAGACAGGGCTGATGGCTAAGGGGAGCAGAGTCTTTTCTTGGGGTAATGAAGTATTCTAAAGTTGAGCATGGTGGTGAAAGACACTAAAAGCCATTGAATTGTGTACATTAAACGGGTGACGTGTGGGGCCTGTGAATTCTATCTCAAGAAAGGTTTTTTCCCAAAAAGAAACCTCTACTTTTAAAAACAGACGAGAAAGGCCTCCCCGGTGGCTTAGGCGGTTGAGCGCTGCACTGTGAAGCTGTCCGCAGCCTCTGCAGTGTGGGTTCGATCCCGGCCGGCTGGTGAAAATCCCACATGGCGAAGCAGACCTCGCCTGTCTCTCCCGCTGCTCCCCTCAGCAGTGTATTTCAGTCAATTGCCTGTTCTGTTCCCCACTCTGTCTGATGAATCCCCTCACCCTCCCGTGCATCTGGCCTGGACCCTGGTTCTTGTATAAATAAATAAATATTTAAAAAAAAAACACACAAAAAAAACCTATTAAAAAAAAAAAAACAGGAGATTTTCGAAAAAGACGAAGAAGAACAGGACACAGGACACAGGCTGGCCCTTCTCACCTCCGAGTTGTCTGGGAAGATGGGGTGGTTCACGTGGCAGCTGCTGCTCTTCAGGACCTTGGGGTCTCCACTGGAGCCACCAGACTCACAGGTCAGGCGCCAGGGCCGCTTTGAGCGTGGGTTCTGGAAGGCCAGGCAGGCAGAAGTGGTCATGTCAACCACCAGTCATGAGGATAGGGAAGATACCGGAGAGCTGGGGGTGGATTTGGCTACCTGGGCCAGTGACACCCTCCGGTAGGACAAGCCAGGAGGGAAGAAGAAGGTGACTTGTGTCATGTAGGAGTCCTCGCCCTGGTTTCTGACAGTGACAGTCACGCTGAGGTCCCGGGGACCCCCTACCACCACGGTGTCCAGGCTGTGGGAAGAACAAGACAGGCCACCAGATGCCGAGGGCGTCTGCTCTGGCAGGACGGGGCCGCGGGCACTTGGAGAGAGAAGACAGCCACGTGGGTGCCTCCCACGCGGCTGCTCCGGGCCAGGCTCCCTGGTGGGCCGCTCTGCGGGGACACAGGGCCCCGGCTGTGGCGGAGGCAGGGAGGAAGCAGCAGTGAGGAAAAGAAACTCACTTCAGGAGACTCAAGGTCACACTGAGGTCGTCCTGGCAGATGCTATCATTGCCACAATTCTTCTCAAAGGGGAACTGTACAAAACAGAACGTGAAATCAAAGCAAACAGTGGAACGGCGTGAGCTAGGACAATTCAACATTAAAGTGAAACCTGTGTGAGGAGAAATAAAATGAGCTTCGACAGTCCTGGCCTCGGGTCCCCTCGACACCCTGGCAGCCTCCCAACCTGGACTCACCGAGGCTGTGAAGTATCTCTCAGCGCCCACATCCAGCACCGGCCGGAGGTTCCCAAAAGAAGATGATGGCTTCCCCTCCAGGGAAAAGTTGAGGCGCAGGACAATGGGGGTCACTGAGTCTTCCACACATTCCTGAGAATTGCGGGGTTTAGAAGGCCGTCCTCCTCAGCTTCCCAAGCCCACAGCCTGCTCGGAGGACCCCGGGCAGTGGCCACCCCTGCTCACCGGCAGCAGCAGCTTCAGGGTCTCGCACTGCTGACTCAGTCCCAGGGTCTGCATTTTTCTGCGTAAGCTGCTCTTGGTCTCTTCGAAGATGGCCCTGGGGTGGGGGCGACCGGGGTCCAGAGCCAAGTCATAGGTGACGTCACTCTGGATCTCTCCTGAAGGGACAGGCAGCACGTGGGGAGGAGCCCAGCGAGGAGTCACTCTGCTCCCTATTGGATGCCTCTGGCAGGTTGTTATCAGACCTCTTTGAGTCCCAATGCCTTATTTTTTTTTAATTGAGAACATTCATTTATTTATTTTTAAAGATTTATTTATTTATTCATACAAGAACCGGGGTTTAGGCAAGATGCGTGGGAGGGTGAGAGGATTCACCAGAGCCAGAGTGGGGAACAGAACAGGCAGACTGACGAAATACACTGCTGAGGGGAGCAGCGGGCGAGTCAGAAGAGGTCTGCTGGGCCATGTGGGACCCCTGCCAGCCGGCCGGGATCAAACTGGCGCTGCAGAGGCTGTGGACGGCTTCACAGCGCTGCGCTCGACCGCCTGCACCACCAGGGGAGACCCAAATTTATATTTAATTGAGAACATTAATTTAGCTTCCCAGCAGTGGAAATAAAAGGAAACAGTGTCTAGGGCCTCCCCGGTGGCACAGCGGTTGAGCACTGGGTTGCGAAGCTGCCCGCAGCCTCTGGCAGCACCGGTTCGATCCCCGGCTGCTCCCCGGCCACCGGAGGAGGGTCCCACATGGCGTGCAGACCTCTCCTGCCACCCGCTGCTCCCCTCAGCAGTGTACTTCGGTCCTTCTGCCTGTTCTGCTCCCCGCTCTGGCTCTGGTGAATTCTCTCACCCTCCCGCGCTTCTGACTGTACCCAGTGCTTGTATAAACAAAAACAAACAAACAAACAAACAAACAAATAAATAAATAAAAAAGGAAACAGTGTCTAGAAGACATTTCGTACGAGGCCGGCCACATAACGAGTGTTTGATAGGGGGCAGCTACTGTGCTGCATGCTAGAAAATTAAGTAGGGGCCTCCCTGGTGGCACACGGGGTTAAGACACAACCTATGAAACTATCAGCAGTCACTGCAGCATGAGTTCGATCCCCAGCCAGGGAGGTGACCCACATGGTGCAGCAGACCTCTCCTGACTCGCCTGCTGTTCCCCTCAGCAGTGTATTTCAGTCCGTCTGCCTGTTCTGTTCCCCACTCTATCTCTGGTGAATCCTCTCACCAACCCCCCACCCCATCCCACACTTCTGGCCTGTACACCAGCTCCTCTATACATAAATAAATAAATTTTTAAAAAAAGAGAAAAAGAAAATTAAGTATATTTTTCTGGCTGTGTTTAGCTTTTTGCCTTTGGTCTTCAGTAGTTTGTGCCTTGGTATGGCACAAAGTGGGGTCTGGTCTACATCCCCCATGTTCCATGTTGTGGTTACCTTTATATTTATCCTGCTTTGATTTTTAGAGACTCTCGTCTTCCATCAATTTTAGAAAATTCTTGATTATGATTTTACCAAGTGTTGCTCCTTTTTTTATTCTCTCTCTTCCTTTCAGAATTCCAAGTCCATGTTTATTTGTTCTTTCACAGTGTCCCAACTATCTCTTATGATTTTTTTTCTGTTTTTCATCCTTTATTCTCCCTGTATGATCACGTGGATATTTTCAACTGCACTACTTTCTAGTTCACTAATGCCCTGTTCTGCTTCTAGTCTGATAGTGAGTCTTATTGTTGAACTCTTAACCTCAGTCAGTGTATTTTTAGTGCTAGAGTGTCCATTCAATTCTATTCAATAAACTCCTTTTCTGAAATTCTCCCTCATTTCCTCTTTTTTTCTTAAAGATATTACTTGTGGTCATTTAAAAAATTCCTATTTGGTAGCTCAGATTTCTGTGGGTCTGTTTCTATGGTCTATCATTGCTCTTGATTACTAGCCTCAATGGACATTGTCCTAATGAAAAGACCAAAGTGTATACCAAGACCTCCCCTCACAAATCCCTTTTCCCCATCCAGTAGGAAAATCACTTGCTCACTCCAGCCAAGCTTTGAGAAGGCTCTAGAAGCTTGTGAGAACATTGCTCTGGGGTGCTGGAGGCTGGGAAGGCTGGGCCCATCAACGCACCACCCAGTCATTTAACCTCTTAAGAATGACCCACCCAGCCTTACCTTCTCGGAGCCGGTCCACCGTGCTCTTACGGACACGGAAGCAGACTCTGACCTCCCCAGCAATCTGGTTTCTCACAGCCTCATCACGACACTCAAATATATTCCTTGCCATTTCCCGGGGTGTGAACTCCATGCCTGCTTCCATTCTTAGCACTGGCTGGGACCTGAAGGGACACCCGAGGGCCATCAGGATTCTTCTGACAAGAAAAAGACTGCTGGATGGGAAGACACCTGGGACGCTCTGAAAGACGCTCTCACCTGAGCAGCAGCACTTGCCCCTGGGCCCCCACAGCCAGGTCCACCAGCCCATCCATTGTGAGATCCCGGCCCCCGCTCAGCGACTGTCCAAAGTACTGGAGCCTGGGGGAGAGCTGGGAGCCTTCAATCCGCTGAAGATAAAAGGGCAAGGGAACAGGGATGGAAAGAACAGGGAGGTGGTAACTCAGTCACGCAGGATGAACCAAGGAGAGACTAGACTGTCTGGGATCCACTCAAGTCTCATCTCCCACAACCCCTCAAGAAATAGGCTAACTCTTCGGTTTTAAGCCACAGCCTTGGGATAATACCCAAAGCTTCCATTCATTTTTTGGGTTTTCCAAGGAAAACAAAGTATACTATTCCACTCGGCTGTCTCCAGTGCATGGTCAGGACAATGCAAACACCGAGAACTCGGCTAACTAAAATTATTATATAAATGAAAGGAGTAAGCAGTGGGTGGATGGTACTGAATGCGGCAAGAGGGCTCTGAAAGAGAACTCAGCCCTCACTTGCCATAGTGGGAAGTCAGTGCTAAAACAAAAATCAAGAAAAAGCAAAATAAGCCTGTCACTGGGAAGTGTGAGAATCACTGAAAGTGTTTCCTCAGGAGGATGGGGAAGCAAAGAGGAAGCCACAGCGTGACTGTGGAAGCTGTTTTCCATGATGAGCCCTTAAGAACGATTTCTCTCTCTAATCAGGATGCAAGAGAACACTGAAGGCATAACAGCCAGATCATAAATTAAAAAGAAAAATTTGAAGTGATGTCGTCTTATACTCAATGCCACTGAAGCGTCTACATAAAGGTGTTTCAGATGGTAAGTAAACTTTATGTCATGTATTATGTTGCCACAGAAATTTGTAAATGATTTTGTCAACTGAAAGGAAGGAGGAGACACTCGGGCTGCTGGAGAGGTGCTATGTTGTGATAACATCTGAGCCTACTCAGCTTCACATTTGAGATTTATGTGCATATTTATTTTTTTGAGAAAAATGTATAGCATTCTGTTGGAAAGCAGCTTTGTTTTGAAATTACATGTCATGCAGTTGTAGGGAGAGGCTCAGTGTGTTTGCATGTCCAGACAGAGCATCCCGGGCTCAATCATGGGTGGAAAGCAAGCGAGAAATGAAAACAGGACAAGATAGCGCGATCCTTTCTGCATTCGCTTTTAATTCCAGTGTGTGTGTGTGTATGTGTGTGTGTGTGTCCATGTGATGTTCCCTCTTGCTGGCCTTGCTTTCCCTGGTGGGGTAAATTATGGTGCAGATAAGGGGAGGGGACTAGGGCTTCCACTGTTTAGGCTTAAAAATTCATGTAAAGGTATAAAGCTTTTGTAAGAAAAATAAAGTAAAACCGAAGGCCTCAAACCCCATTTACATAGAGGAACGTTAGGTGCCCCAAAAAAGAGACCTCCTTACAATATTCACACAAGCCACAAAGAGAAGTAATGCCAGAGTTCTTGGCCTGGTTGCAAATGAGGTGGGTAGAAAAACCACTGAGGCTGGCATAACACACTATTCCCTCTACATGGTGTTCTAGAACAGGCAAGACTGATTCAACAACAGTGGAAAATCAGGACAATAGTTCTCTCTGGGATGGAGTGGGGTCAGAAAATTACTGGTAAGGGACAGGAGGAAACTCTCTGGAATAATGAGAATGTTCTGTATCTTGACAAGCAGATGGATTGCCCAGGTGTAAACATTTGTCAAAACATATTGAAGGCTAGGGCCTCCCCGGTGGCGCAGCGGTTGAGCGCTGGGTTGCGAAGCTGCCCGCAGCCTCTGCAACCTCTGCAGCGCCGGTTCCGGCTGGCTGCCGGGGGAGGGTCCCACATGGCGAGCAGACCTCTCCTGTCTCACCTGCTGCTCCCCTCAGCAGTGTATTTCAGTCATTCTGGCTGTTCTGCTCCCCACTCTGTCTCTGGTGAATTTTCTCACACCCTGCACCTCTGGCCTAGACCTCAGTTCTTGTATGCATAAATAAATCTTTAAAAAATAATAATAAATATTTTTTAAATGATAAATAAAATAATAGTAAGCAGTATGGAATTCTAGTTAGAATGGCATGCTGAAATATTTAGGGGCAAATAGGGCTAGTGCCTCGACTTATTTTGAAATACATTAAAAAAATAAGATAGATGGATAGGAAAAGAATGAATAAAAGATGGATATATGATAGAATAAAACTAGTAAAATATCATTGTAGATCATTGTATATTCAGTGTTCACTTGAGAATATATGGGTGTCCACTGTGATTCTTTGGCTCTGCAGTACATTTGAAAATGTATCAAATAAAATGTTAAAAACACACTGATGTCTGAGGCCCCAGCCCAGATCAAGTAAATTAGAACCCTTCCTGGCAGGGCTGCAACAAATGTGTTTTTTAAGATTTTGGATAATTTTAAAGTGTTGATAGGGTTGAACCTGTATGGTGAGGGGTTTGGCAGGAATGGAGCATGGGGGTGGGAGTTGCCTACAAAGAAAGAAAGGACATGAGAAAAATGTGAGGCTGGAAAAAGCTGGAGACCAGAGGCCAGAAGATGGGCTGGCCACAGCCATCAGTGATGTGTGGGAACCAGACAGCTGGGGTCCCCCCACAGAGAGGACTCCCCATCCACCAGAGCAGGGGGCCATCAGGATTTCAGGGGCCAGTCATCAGGATGGGCTGGACCCAGTGCAAAAAAAGAAAGTGGAATCCCTGTTTAAAAATTACTTAGAATCTCAAGATGGTGAGAGAAAGAGGGGCCTTGTGTAACCACACAGTCTTAGCCCATGTGGCATGCAGCAGGCAGCGTGGGAAGCGGAGACAGCTCCTGGAGGCGAGACTATCAGGGCCTGATCTGGGACCCTTCCAGGCAGAGCAGGACCATCAGTCACCCCACCAAGACTGATTCAAGAGAGAGGAAGGCCTACACCCAAACACTTTGAGCCTGCCATCCGCTACTTCTGCGCCTTATTCACCTCATCTGTGAAGTTGGGTGATGAACCGCCCTGTACCCACTGCAGCTGAGGTAAAGATTCATCCAGAACATAGGAGTCTGTGAGGTGTCTGTGATATGTGTGACTATTTTTGAAGGATCTGAACAGGAGCAGCAGGACAACTGTTCTGGCTACTGTGGGAATGTTGATGTAGAAGGGGACAGATCAGCCAAGGGGCTACTATCCTGAAGGAGACCAGGCCTCACCTGGCTGTGGGAGGCGCTGATGCCCTGTTTTGAGGTTCCATGAAACAGGTAGACAGCTCCCCGGTTCTCCTGCTCTCCTGGGGCCCCAATGGCCACATCCGTCAGCTTGTCCCCATTCACATCCCCCAGCACCGTCATGGCTGCCCCAAAGCGCGCCCAGGGGTGGCCCTGCTCCCCACGGAGGACAGCCACACACTTCCACTTGGCCCTCTGCAGAACAAAACAGTGTCAGGACCCAACCTGAGTGACCCCCTACCCTCCCAGACCACACCCTGCCCAGGTCCCATCAGCCACTCACCCCCTGTGGCAAGGGGCACACAGACACCTGGCCTCCCCGGGTCTGCTCATAATAATGTGGGGCTCCGATGAGGACCAGGTCTGTGCTTCCATCTCTGTCCATGTCCACAGAGCACAGGGAGGCCCCGAAGTAGGAGCCGATCTGAAAGAGATGAGGCCGGATTCACACACTACTTCCCCCTAAACACAGCGTGGGGATTTTCTCCCAGTGAAGAAAAGTCACCCCTTGGAAGAAAGCCCTTTGGAGCACATGAGATCCACTCTGCAATTCATGATAAATTTAAATCTCCAGCGGTTTATCACTAGTGCAGAAATGCAGCTGATTTATGTATATATGATATGATATGATATGATATGATATGATATGATATGATATGATATGATATGATATAAATTGATCTTGTATTCTGGGAACTTACTAAAATAACTTAAGAGTTATAGTAGGGGCCTCCCTGGTGGTGCAAGGGGTTAAGCACCGCACTATGAAGCAATCCGCAGCCTCTGCAGCACGAGTTCGATACCTAGCCAGGGAGCAACCCACAGGGCTCAGCAGACCACTCCTGTCTCGCCCACTGCTCCCCTCAGCAGTGTATTTCAGTCAGTCTGCCTGTTCTGTTCCCCACTCTGTCTCTGGTGAATCCTGTCACCCCCTGCATCTCTGGCCTGTACCCCAGCTCTTGTATGCATAAATAAATCACTCTTTAAAAAAAAAAAAGAAGAGTTATAGTAGCCTTTTTGTAGAGTTGTTGGAATTTTCCATGCAATTATGTCATCTGAAAATTGAGAGTTTTATTTTTTCCTTTCCACTCTGTATGCTCTTAATCCCTTTTTTCTTGCCTTATTTCACCGACTAACTCTTCCAGTGTGCTATTGAACAAGAGTGGTCAAAAAGGAGTGGTGAAAAGAGTCTTGACTTGTTTCCAGATGTTAGGAAAAAAGGGTTCTAATTCACTGTTAAGTATAATGCCAGCTATAGATTTTTTGGTAAATGCATTCTCATGTCGAGAAGTATAAAGCATATTGTATTTTGTCAATTATTTTCCTGTATCTACTAGGATTATATTTTTTCTTCTCTAGTCTATTGCTGGGGTAAATTACATACTGCTCATTTTAAAATTAGGTTATCTTTTCATTGTTGAGTTGTAAGAATTCTTTATATATTCTAAATGCCAGACCTTGTAAACAGCTTCCCCTATCCTTTTTATTTTCTTCATAGTGATCTTGGACACTCAAAGTTTTTAATTTGATGAAGTCCTATTTATCTATTTTTTGTTTAGTTGCTTGTGCTTTGGGTGTCATAATAATATAAGAAATCATTGCTAAGCGAAGATTACAAAAAGTCACCTATGAGCCCATCTAAGAGATTTACAGCTCCAGTTTTTACAAAAAACTGAAAATCTTTGATCCATTTGAACTTAGTTTTTGTACATTGTGAGGAATGGGTCCCAATGTATTATTTATTTATTTATGCCTGTGGATACCCAGTTGTCCCAGCACCATTTGTTGAAAAGATTATTTTTCTTCATTGTTGACCCTGTGACTTTCCAGATCAAAGCCTTCTAACCCTCCTTTACAAAACTGTCATCCTGGAACCTCTCAGCCCACAGGGTACCTGTTTACACACTCATGCTCCACATGTTCTGCACTCACCTGGCTTCCCTGGATAGAAGTTTTGGTCTCCCAGACACGTGCATTCTCTTTGAACATCACCACCAGACCAATGTGCTGATAGCGAGGCGCCCCCAAAACCAGGCTGTGCACCTGGTTCTGCAAGATGACTTCAACAGCATAACCTGAAGATGATGAGCTAAGAGGAGAAGTGTTTTCTCTCACAGACCCTACCCCCTCTAGCAGGTCTATCCGTAGAGTAGGGACAATGGGACAGCCATATGCTTGGTAAGCTAGGTAGCTGGGTCCTGTGCTATAGTTCTCTTTGTTAACATAATTAAAACAAAACTTTGATGTATAGCTGCTGTTGACTTTGATTTTTACTTTATTATAATTAGTCTTTTTCCTGGTCCTTATTTAGGTTTTCTAAATTCCTGCTATGAGTGAGACCATCAGTATTTTTCTTTTTCTTTCTGGCTATGGCAGAGGGGGCAGATGGTGAGGAGGGATTAGGGTCAAAATAAGGGGGGTGGGAATTGTATGGGGACTATAACTAAGATGAAAATGCATATATTGTGCAAAAATGAAAAATGATGTAAAAAATATATTTTAAAAAACTTTGAAACTTCTGTTTTTAAAGCTATACCAAGGGCTTATGATGCTACAGTCTGACCCTTTCTAAGAGTAACCATGCCCTCTTACTTACCCAAGTAAGCATCATTCATGTCTGAGTCTACCCTGGTTGTGTTGATAAAGGTGGCTGCAGCATTTGATGTATGCAGAAAGGCTCCACCAGACCAGTCAAAGCTCCCCACAGCACCAAGCAAGGGACCACTCTGGGAAAGAAAGCATAATAAATGGAGCAATCAACAGCTTCAATGCAATCCCTATCAAAGTTACAATGATATTTTTCACAGAAATAGAACAATCTTAAAATTTGTATAGAACCAAAAAAGACCCTAAATAGCCAAAGCAAATTGAGACAGAAGAGCAAAGTTGGAGGCATCACATGTCCTCATTTCAAACTATATTACAAAGCTGTAGTAACCAAACAGTATGGTATAAAAATCAGAACTCAGTGGAGCAGAATAGAGAACCCAGAAATAAATCCACATATATATGGGGTCAACTAATTTACAACAAAGGAGCCAAGACTATACAATGGGGGGCCTCCCTGGTGGCCTAGGAGTTAAGTCTCAGCACTATCACCACTATGGCCTGAGTTCAATTCCCTGCCAGGGAACTAGCGCACATATGGTACACCATACCTCTCCTGTCTCACCCAATGCTCCTCTTAGCAGTGTATTTCAGCAAATCTACCTGTTCTGCTCCCCACTCTATCTCTGGTGAATCCTCTCACCCCCTGCACCTCTGGCCTACATCAGAGTTCTTCTACACATAAATAAATAAATAAATAAATAAATAAATAAATAAATAACCAATCCTATAAGGAAAAAATATATATTTACAATGGGAAAACAATGGCCTCTTCAATAAATAGTATTAGGAAAACTACATAGCCACAAACAATAGAATCCACAAACCACCATCTTGCACCACTCACAAAAATCAATTCAAAATGGATTAAAGGCTTGAACATAAGACCTGAAGTCATAGAACTCCAAAAAGAAAAAAGGTGGTAAGTACCTTGACATCAATCTTGGCAATAATATTTTGGATTTGACTCCCAAAATATGGCAACACAAAGAAAAACAAATATGTGAGACTACATCAAATTAAAGAGCTTCTGCATAGCTAAAGAAACTGTCAACAAAATGAAAAGAATGGGAAAAATATTAACAAATCATATATCTGCTAAGGGACTAATATTTAACATATATATGTGTGTGTGTGTACATACATATATCATGATTTAACAATAGAGAAAGAAGCAAACAATGCAATTAAAAATGGACAGAGGATTTAAATAGACATTTTGCAAACAAGACATACAGATGGCAAAGAGGTACATGAAAAGATGATCAACATCTCCAGTCATCGGGAAATTCAAACCAAAGCCACAAAGACTTATTACCTCACACTTGTGAGAACGGCTATTATCAAAAACAAAAACAAGAAAATAACAAGTGTTGACAAGGATGTGGAGAAAAAGGAACCCATGTGAACTATTGGTGGGAATGTAAATTGGTGTACTCACTAGGCAAAATCAGCCTAATGACTGATTTTTTTGAGGAAGGATCCTCAAAAAATTTAAAAATAAAACTACTACATGATCTAGCAGTTTCAATTCTGGGTGTTTATCCAAAGGAAACAAAAACACTAACTCAAAAGATACAGGCACCCACATGTTCATTGCAGCATTTTTTTTAATAACCAAGACATGGAAACAACTTGTGCCATCAATGGATGGATAGATAAAGAAAATGTGACATATATACAAAATGGAATATTATTCAGTCATAAAAAGAAGGAAATTCTGCCATTTTAGACAACATGGATGAACCTTGAGGGCATTGTGCTAAGTGGTTTAAGTCAAACAAAGACAAATACTATATGAGCTCACTCTACATAAATCTAAAACAAAAATCCAAGCTGAACTGAGATACAGAGACAGATTGGTGGTTGCCAGAGACGGGGAGAAACTGGTGAAGGGGGTCCAAAGGTACACATTTCTGGTTATAAAATAAATAAGTTCTGGAGATGGAATGTACAGCATGGTGACTACGACTCTATTACTGTATTGTATATCTGAAAATGACAAAGAGAATAGATCTGAAAAGTTCTCATCACAAAAATATGTAATTATGTGTGGTGATAGATGTTAACTAAACTTACTGTATTGATAATTTCACAATATACGCACATACACCAGACCATTATGTCTATACCTGCAGCTCATATAACATTATAGGTCAGTCACACCTCAAGGAAAAAATAAAAACCAAATTGACAAGAAAGGGAGAAGCAATCACAGCTGCCTATGAAAGAGGTGACTTCCAACAGAGAAGGGATCTCCAACCCCTTGAACCCCTACTTCTTGCCCCCCTGATTTAATGAAGGGCCACTTACAGGGGTGATGGCTGCGCTGAAGCCTTCCTGAGACATCTCATTCTCAAAGGAGCTAGAACTTCCTGTCTGAGTACCTGTGAGGAGAACTTTGTGCATTAACTTCTAGGCAGAAGAGTGAAGAACGGGGCTGGAACCCACATGCCATCTACGGTGACCAGATAGAAGGAGGCTCAGGGGCCGCTGTGTTGAGTAGAAGGCACAGGCCCCCTTTCAGGGCTGGTGGCCTTTCGGCTCCAATCACTTTTTGCCAAGTGGAAATGTGGTTTTCAAGTGTCTAATCTTCCAGCTTCTTAAGAGGAACCGCAAATCCAGGTTGGGCGAGAACCCTCCCTTAATTGTTTAATTCTTCTATCCCACAGTCGTTGAGCACTCTCCAGGCACCAGGCATGGGAGATACAGCAGAGAATGAAGCAACTGAATTTGGGGTGGGGAGACTCTGTGGGTAATGCATCCGAATTTGGGATGGGCAGGCTATGCTATGTGGGCAGGGAGGGCTTCCCTGCCCTCCAACTTTTCAGGCTATAGCAAAGACTTACAAAATTAGGATAGAAACCTAGATCTCACTTCAAAGGAATTGACCAAGTGAGGCCAGGGTTTCTGGGGACTGGAGGAAGGAGAGAGAGTTAAAGATAAGGGTCCAGATAGCCAGGATCTGGTTTCTAGGGGCAAATACACGTTTTGGGATAGGGATACCTCTGGCGCTGCTCTGGGGTACAGACCCCTCGCTCACCCTCAATGGCAAAGATCTTTTCTTGAAGTTGGTCCTGAATGGTCTTCAGAGCTCCAAAGTTATTCACCCGGAATACGTGATCTCGAGCCGGCTTGCTTGCAATGATATTAAGCTCTTTGCGGGACTCGGCACTGTTAAAGGCAGACCCCACCTGTTACCAAGGAACAGAGGCCAAGTCAGACACTGTTTGGGGTAGCCATTTCATGCAGTGAAGAAAATTCTGCAAGAAAAGAATCTGAAACAACGAGGGAAGGCAGGAACATGCCAGAAGGCTCCTGGGAGTGGTTTGCCAAGCAGAGCAGAGCAGGCTACACATACACAGGGCATTATGTCAAGGGAGTGATGAGGGCTGAAAGCCAGCCAGGATCCACTTGCTGTGCCTCAACTCGTGGTGTCGGGCTGGCAGAAGTAGGGTGCGGGGATGAGTAAAGTGGCTTAAGAAGGTCAAAAGGTGGGCCTCCCTGGTGGCCCAAGGGATTAAATCTCAGCACTATGAAGCTACAGGCAGCCACTGCACAAGGAGTTCGATCCCTGGCCAGGGAGCTACACACATGGCGCAGCAGACCTCTCCTGTCTCACCCGCTGCTCCCCTCAGCAGTGTATTTCAGTCTGTCTGCCTGTTCCGTTCCCCACTCTGTCTCTGGTGAATCCTCTCACCCCCCACACCTCTGACCTGTACCCCAGTTCTTGTATGCATAAATAAATAAATCTTTTTTTTTAAAAATTTACTTTCTTCAACATTTCATACTCTGAAAACTAGAATTGCTAAATACTAAATCCCATAAAACTTTCCAATCAGTCTCTTCATTTGGTTTCCTCTGACAGGCTACAAGAAAAACACCCAGACTGCCTGAGCTTTAAAAGGATATTTCCTTTCTGAATAAGCAATAAAAACAAGCCTGGCAAAGTGAAAAGGGGGCAGCCACTTGCTCCTTCTTCTTCTGTCTTCACTACTCACACAGGCCCTAGGTGGGTCACAAGGTGCAGAAAGATCTAATTGCCCTGGGATTCCAGCCACTCCAGTTGGACAGACAGACAGACAGAGCTGCCACCCTCAGAGACAGAGTCAGCCGAGAGCAGTGCTCGAGTGAGCCCCGCCGAGCCCAAGCACACACAGACTCACGTTGGGTTAAGCCACTGCACTTTGGGATCATGGTGACCCCAGGGAACAGATCCGGCACACAGGGGGATGCGGGGACCCTTGTCCCACGGAGATTTTATTGATATTTGCAAGCTGAAGGGAAGGTGTGGCCAGGCAGAGCCCCACCAGAGACACGTCAGGCCAGGGCGCCTCTCTCCTACCCCAATGACGTAGCGGATAATGTTGTTGTCATTCGCCTCAGGAATGACGTCCTCATAATTCAAGGGATCACCAAACTTTTCTCCATCTGTGATGACAACCAGGATCTTAAAGGCATTCTCCCGAGCCCCGCTGCTGCTGTGAAACAGTTCTCTCCTGTCCGGGAAGGGGAGGGACAGTCAGATGCCAGCAGAGGTGCCCTTAATGCTGCGACCGCAGCCGTGGTCACAGACACTGAGGGGCCAGAGCTGGGCTCTGCTGGAAATGTGGGCTCCCCTGGGGTAGACACTGAAAAGTGGGGCCCAAGACCTGGAAAGGCAGCAAGAGACAGAGCAGAGTGGAGGGAGAGGAAGCCATCTTTGTCTTTGTATACTTTCCTGTGGGTTAATTTTTTATTTTGACTGAGAATTAGTCCTTTTAAATGAACAAAATTTTAAATAAGCTTCATTGAACCCTCGTCAAACTTCTCCCTGATGCAACAGCCCTCTTGCTGACTTTCCTGCACTTCTGCCCCAACCCCCACCCTCACCAGGGAGGGGCAGAAGCGAGATCAGCTCTCTAGAACAAGATGTGATGACGTCTCTCCACTGCTCAAAATGGACCCCACTGGCTTTCAGTTGCCTTCCATGGCCTGACTCCCCTGACCTCTCCAGTCTTCCTCCAGCTGCCCTGCCACCACTTCCCCCACTTCACTCCTGTTCTGACTCACAGCTTGTTTGTTCTCGAACACCAAGCACAGCCCCTCCTCCGGGAGTTCACAAGTGCCGGCCAACTGAAAATAGCCACCACCCCACCCTCCTCTGAACAACTCTCCCCTCCTCCGAAGCCCAGCTGAGACCATCACCTCCTTCCCTCCCAAGCCAGGAGGGGGGCGCTTACACCACTTTGCGGATGCCCGTGGCCGTGTGTGTCCTTCCAAGCAGCTGTTTTATTGGCCTCACCAGGGATACGGGGTCCAGGCTATTGCGGAACTCTTTGAAGGTGAAGTGAGTCTGGAAGTCTTCAGAGTACTGCATCAAAGAGAACTGGGGAGGGGTGGCTGGCATTACCCTGGAGAAGGTGCCTCCCTTCGCCTCCCCTCAGCAAGCCCCACATAAATCCTACAACACTCTGGTCCCATCCCTATCCCTCCAGGTGCTGCAGTGCCTCCATCCCGCTGCCTCGCCGGGACAGAGCCTGGCCATCTGCTCCCACTGCCCAGACCAGGACTCAGCCTGCCAACCGCTAGCAATGAGCCAGAGTCGCCTGCTTTCCAGGGGCTGGAAGAAAGCTGAGGCACTTTGGCTATAGCTGCAAGTGAAGTGGGAGGAAGGTGGTGGCCTGGCGGCCGTGTCCTTGCCAACCTCCCACGAGCTATGCCCTCTCCGGCCCGCTGGCCCTCACCAAGGTTTTGGTGTTTTGGAATTGACCCATCACTGTTGAGACAAACTCCTTCATCCGCTGAAAGTCTGGGGGTACGATGCTCCCAGAGCCGTCGACCAAGAAGGCGATGTCGATGTCCTGCCGAGGGCACCCTGGGGACATGGAGACTGGTTAGGACTGGACTCTGGGTGCCCTTGTGCACGTCGGCTCTCTGAGCAGAGAAGGTAACAAGCTGCGATCCATGCTCCAAGCGAAAGAGGAGCATGGACAGAGTAGTAGTGTTAGGGGAAAAGGATGTCCTGAGCTAACTCCATACAGGCTTTGTGGACCCCACCCCCACCCCAGACCAAAGCCATCAAGACATTGGGAAAGACAAATCCCGTCACCACCCAAGGGAAGGTGGCTGGGACCTGAGGGTGGGGTTAAGCAGCCAGGTTGGTATAAGCCAGACACGTGGGCTTTGGAGGGGTCCCCCATTTTGGCATTCGGGCCAGCTCAGAGAGTGCCTTTGGGTTTCCAGGTCGGCGGATCGGGTAGGACGCATTCAAGACTTTATTTCCCTATTTTCTCCCTGAGTTGTACATTTTCCTTATTTCCTTTTCCCTTGTCAATAAACCTTTTATGAACCTTTCGCGTGTGCCTGCAGTGGAGTATTCATAAGTCCCTTGTAAGCGCGGGTGAGGACCCACAGCCAGGAACCCGTTCACTATCGGGGCTGCCCTGTAACGGCATGGGGACATGTGGCTACATCTCCCGAGGGAGGCAGGGAGAGTGGTGCTGCTTGGGCCCGCTCAGGACCCAGAGAAATAATTGGCCAGAAATACAAAGGGTGAAGTTAATTCCAGGAAAAAGGAGCAGCACAGACAAGGCATGCTGGGCGTCCTCCCCCTTCTCCTCGGCCGAGTCTACTTTCCACCCTCCCCCAGCGGCTTGCACCCCGAGGGCACCTCCTCCACTGGCCTCCTGTGCCCCCAGACTTCTGGAGGGATCTGCCCTATCATGGGCGTCAGCGGGAGATGGGATGGAGGAAGTAGAGAGAGGGGCGAGGAGGAAGGGGAGAGGGAAGGACGGGAGGGAGAGAGACAGGGAGAGAGGGGGAGAGAGGGGGCGAGAGGGGAAGGTGTGACCAGCTATTCTCCCTTGGCTCCCTCTGGGAGGTGACCCTGGGCCAGTGTGTCCCTCATCGGTCCCCTCAAGGGAGCCACTGCCCACATCTCTTTCCCTTCCCAATGGTGGCCCGGCCTCTCCTCACACCATCAGCCCGGGGCTGCCTCTCCTCACCTGGGCCCCTGAATGCCATCCCTTAGCTCCTACCACACCTCTCTAAACAAGGCCACCCCCGCTATTCCAATGGAGAGTGTCATCACGACCCCGGCTGGCCAAGGGGGGGACTAAGAGGACCCTGGCGAGTCAAGGGCCAGAGGTGGCCCCACAAAGATGAATCTAGGTCATTTATCTAGATGACACGGCTACGACACTGTGGGGACTGGTTGGGGAGGGGCTCTCTATCTCAAAAAGAAGTCCGACTTTACCCCCCGCAGTGGGGACTCACTGAACGCTCCTAGCGAAAGCAGTGAGAGCCGCCCGCTGTATTTTAGGAAGGCTGCCCTGCCGGGAAGACTTTCTTCCTGTGCTTTCTTCAGCTCTCCTCGTGATGGCGAAACGCAGGAAACCACCCCCACATCCCCCTCCAGTGAGTGGACGAGCTGGTGAATGGGTGGAAGAGCCACGCCATGCGGTACTACTCAGCAACACAAAAACACTACTCAGCTGATGGGTGGCGGTGGCCGCCAGGGTTAGGCCCCGACGAGTCACACACCACATGGGGATGAATCGCAAATGCGTCAAGCTAGTGAAGGAAGCCGATCTCTCGGAAGGGGAAGGTCGCAGCTCCATGGAGGCACATTCTCAAAAAGAGGAGGCAGCCAGAGTGCCTGGAACACAGTGGCTGAGCAGAGGGGTGGGAGAGAACTGAGAGGGTGGATGGGCCACACCGCCTCGCGCCTCATGCTCTGGTGAGGAGAGTCAAGGCCTTATTCTAAGGACAATGGTTGGAAGACCATCTCGCAGAGCTAAGTGGCTACAGCAGGACATTCCCTGAAGGGCAGGCATTAGCGCCTCCCCAGCTCCCTCACTCTTCTGCTCCTGGGCCTCTGCATCATCCCGCAGAGCACCACGGCCCCAGCCCAGTCCTGCCGCCGAAACGGTCTCCCGCTGCCCACTGTACTCCGCCCATGGCGACCTACCTCTGAGGGTCTGAGGGAACCTCTTGGGGTCCTGCATTAGGTTGGATCCAAACAGGAAGCAGAAGCCATTCATGTAGGTGTTCTCCTTGCAAATTTGGTGCACGGTGGGGCCACAGGCCTGGGGATCATCGAGAGGGTAGGAGGGGCGGCCTCTGCTTCCTGCCCTTTCACCCCAGTTTCTCCACCCTCCACAAGACCCCAGCCCCAGTAGCCCCAGGTCCCCACTCCTCCCCTCACGACACTCCTGCGACCCCAGGCAACTCACCAGCAAGCGAGGCGGTGTGGTGGCAGCCGCCAGGGACAGGCCCAGGGACATGTTCACAGCCTCGGGGGGGACTGGGGGCATGGATATATACATGGTCATACTCAAGGGGATGGAAGGGTTGTGTGAGAGCCAGACAGGGGTCCCCTCAACCTGGGAGACACAGGGGGCTGACAGGTCAAGGGGCAAAAGGTCTTGGGGAAGGTGCTGAGGGATGATCTCACAGAGGCTGGGGAACCAGACCCCGCCAGAGACCACCCCGGCCCCGCAACAAAGAGAACACCCCACAGGCCCAGGTGCTCATCCAGGTGGAAGCTGGCCCGGGAGGGGCGGCCACTCACCCCGCAGGCGGACGGGCTTGCAGGCGCCCGTGCTGTAGTCACACTCGTACAGGGCGCCTGTTTGGTTGGGAGCCGCTATCTCCTGGGGGGCTCCGACCACCACCCTGGAGGACAGGAGGGAACAGGTCCCCAGGAACATAAGAGAAAACACTGACAGGTGGAGAAGGGGGCTATGGAAGAAGTTCTGCCCCCGGAGGATGAGTGGGGGCAACCTCGCAGGAACTCCCCAGTTCCCAGAAGCAGGAAGAAGACTCAGCAAAGGGGGTGGGGGACCAGAAAATTAAAAATCTTGGAGTGGGAAAGGCCTCTCTCAGAATGACACAAAACCCAGGGGTCATTTAAAAATGGATAAATTCAAACACACAGTCATTTTGAGTTCATTTCTGTATGTGCTAAACTATGATGAGCCGTCAAAAGACAGATGATTCCCTGGGAGTGTAACAGGGTGGTCCCCCATTTAGAATAGGCAGATTTGCGGGGTTTGGGCTGCCCCTCTCCCTGTCCTATAACAGGAGGAGGGAGGTGGGCAGCCCCTGCCCCACACCGCCTGCCTCAATGGAGGCAAAGCACCTACCAACCTACTGGGGAAAAACAATAACCCAGCAGAGAATGGGCAACAGTAAGTGTCCGCAGAAAAAGAAATGCATCTCTCATTTAAAAAGAGATGCAATTTAAAGCTAAATTGAGAAGCCATTTATCACCATTTCAATTATTTTTTCAAAGATTTATTTATTTATGCATATAAAGAGCTGGTGTAGGCCAGAGGTGTGGAGGTGGAGGAGTGAGAGGATTCACCAGAGACAGAGTGGGGAGCAGAACAGGCAGATTGACCAAAGTCCACTGATGAGGGGAGCAGTAGGCGAGGCAGGAGAGGTCTGCTGTGTCATGTGGGTCAGCTCCCTGGCCAGGGATCGAACTCCACTGGCTGTGGATAGCTTCATAGTGCTGAGACTTAACCCTTTGCACCACCAAGGAGGCCTATCACCATTTCAATTTGCAAAGATCAGTACATTTGATAAAACTTGTCTTTGGCAGATGGGCGCGGCAACAGATGTTCTGTAAAGTTTTGGTGTGCGTGTCAATTGTTTTACCTATATGGAGGGTCATCGGGAAAAATCTGTTAAAATTACATAGTCATACGTGCCCTTTGATTCTGCAATCCTAGTTCCAGGCATTTGCCTCCAAGTATTCTTGCACATGGCAAAAGAACAGCATTGTTCATGTAGTAAAAATTTGGAGGTGATCTAATATCCTTTAAATAGAGATTTACGGGGCCTCCCTGGTGGCGCAAGGGGTTAAGCGCAACCTATGAAGCTATCTGCAGCCTCTGCACCATGACTTCGATCCCTGGCCAAGGAGCAAGCCACATGGCACAGCAGACCTCTCCTAACTCGCCCGCTGTTTCCCTCAGCAGTGTATTTCAGTACATCTGCCTGTTCTGTTCTCCACTCTGTCTCTAATGAATCCTCTTACCCCCCCCTACTTCTGGCCTGTACCCCAGTTCTTGTATGCATAAATAAATAAATCTTTTTTTAAAAATAGAGATTTATGTGTAAATTGCAGTATGTCCAGTTAATGAAATATGATCTGAACCTAAAAAATAATGAGAAAGCTCTTTATGTAGTTATCTAGTAAAATCAAGTTCTATTAAAAAAAATACAAAGGACAATATAGAGCAGAAGTCAGCAAACTCTTTCTGGAGAGACATTATTTCCATAAAAATTGTTTCTGTAAAGGTAAATATTTTAGGTTTCCAGGCTATACAGTTGCTGGCTCAGTCTCTTAAGTCACAGTAGCTCCAAGGCACCATAAATGATAAGAGTTCGGGAGCATGGTATATATATAAATATATATATTTTTTTTTTCAAAAACAATCAGCAGGCCAAAGTCGACTATAACCTGTGCGACAAAGTTTGGGGGGATGGAGGTAAGTCGTGCAGAAATAGAAAGCCTGCACTGCAAGAAAGCAAGGGGGGAGATTTCTCCTGTATCTCCTTTGTGTCTTTTGAATTTAGTACCCTGTTACATTATGATCTACTCAAAAAATATATCAAGGACATTGCGATTTCTCTTCTTGGGGAATGTAAGTCTTGGACAGAGCGAGGGTGAGACGGGGACCGCCACCTGAGCCCTTACCGGGATCCGTCAAACTGGACCACGCTCTGCCCGAAGCCCCGGGCTGGCTCTTGGAAGACCACTGCATTCTCAGCGTCCAGGTTGAACGCATCACATAAGGCCAAGGCTGGAGGAAGAACAAGGGAGTGAGGCCGAGCGGGGCACCCCCCACGGGGCCCCCCCCTGGAACCCAGCACCGGACATCGTGTCCACCCAAGCCCAGCTCCCATCGCCTGGGGCAGAGGGCTGCACACTTCTTCTACAAAGGGCCAGAGAATAAATAGTTTAGGTTTTGTGGGTCAAGAAGCAAATAAAGTATCTATTAAGGTATTTATACAACCAGAGAGAAAATGCATCTCCACAAATTTTCTTCAATGAAATTAAAAGTAAAATAATTGAGTACGATTGTTTTCCTGTTAAACATCTACTAATGAGACTAATAAAATTCCTTGGGGGAGATAACATTTCATGTCATCAAGGTTCAGAGTCAGTGCTCCCCCAGTCTGGGAAGATGCTGCAGAGCGAAGGCGTGGGCGGCCGCTCCGGACACACCCTAAACACTGATGCAAAACAAAGCCGAAACCATCAGCACTTTACACAACAGGCGACAGGCGTGTCGGCCTGACGCAAGGGATAAGAAAAACAGGAGTGAACTTTTTTAAAAGTCATCACAGGGCAGTAAAACCCATAGAGGGAGGCGTGGCTGAGAGCAAGCCTCCCAGAGCTATTGACTTGGACACAGGCCGACAAGGCGGAAGGCCCCAGAATCCAGTGCAGTGCATAAGAGGGTGCGCGAGCAGGCGCCCAGAAGAGAGGGTGCATTGCTGGGGAGCTATAGACATGAGGGCTCAGATAAGAAATGAACCTTTGTGAAACACACAGAACATCTGTGGCCTGAATCAGGTCAGAGCTTCCCTACAGAAGAGATTACTGCTGCCGTCTAGGCTGAGAATCCAGAACGCCTGCCACCCCCGCCCCAGGCTGAGACTGGAAAACACCTGCCACGCCCCCTCCCACACACACACACCCCGCCCCGGCCCCCCAGGAAACACTTGACGACAGGAATTTCAAACTCCTGAGTCTACTGGACGTGGCCCTCTGGTGCCTATGCCCCAGTCCTCTTAAACCTACAATCTCTCACCAGTTCCAGTTCCTCAATTATTCCACAAAGTTTTGGCCAGAACTCTCAGACAAACACAAGCTTTCTCCAAATAAGAAAAGAAAAAGTGAAACGATCATTTTCTGCAAATATATAGACGATCCTAAAGATTCCATAAAAAGTTAATAGAAACAATAAATGAATACAGCAAAGCAGCAGGCTACAAAACCAACATACAAAAATCCATCCCTTTTTTTATATACAAACAATGAACAAGAAGCAAAGTAAATTAAGAAAATAACTCCACTTACAACTGCCTCAAAAAGAAATAAATACGTCAGAATGAAAGGAGGTAAAAGACCTATGCAACAAGAACTACAAGATATTACTAAACGACTTTGGTGGCAACATGAGGAGATGAAACAATAACCCCATGGAGGGGGAGAATCCATACAATCAAAATGACTGTCTTGCCTAAAATGATATGCATATTTAATGCAATCTTGACCAAAATCCCAGCAACATTTCCTGCAAAAACTGGACAAAAAAAAATTAAAATTTATATGGAAGCACAAAAAGACCTCAAATTGCAAAAGCAATCTTAAGAAAAAAGGAGAGAAATGGAGACATCCCGTTACCTGACTTCAAACTTTACTATAAAGCAACATTATTAAAGACAATATGGTACTGGCACAAAAATAGATACACACACCAATGGAAAAGAATCAAGAGTTCAGGAATAAACCCATACATATACCAGCACCTAATGACACAAAATGAGGAAAAGACAGCCTCTTTCATAAATGGTGGGAAAATTTGAAAGTCACACATGGAAGAAAGAAGTTGGATTACTTGCTAACCATACACAAAAATAAATTCCAAATGAATTAAAGATTTAGATATCAGACTGCACCAACATGGAAGCAGCCTAAATCTCCTTCAATGGACAAATGGATAAAAAGATATGATACAGGGACCTCCCTGGTGGTGCAGGGGTTAAAGACAGCACTATCAAGCTATCGCCAGCCAATGTAGCATGACTTCAATCTCCAGCCAGGGAGGTTATCCACATGGTACATCAGCCTTCTCCTGTCTTGCCTGCTGCTCCCCTCAGCAGTGTATTTCACTCTGCCTGGTTTGCTCCCCACTCTGTCTCTGGTGAATCCTCTCACCCCCCAGCACCTCTGGCCTGTACCCCAGCTCTTGCATGCATAAATAAATAAATCTTAAAAAAAAAAAAAGATATGATACATATATACTATGGACTATTGCACAGCCACAAGAAAGGATGAGATGCAATCATTTTCAACAACATGGAGGAAATTTGAAAAACAACTATATGCAGCAAAAGCAAGTGAGAAAGATAAAAACAAATACTGGACATGCATATAATAGACCATTTAACAACAGGGCCTCCCTGGTGGCACAAGGGGTTAAGATGCAACCTATGAAGCTTCCGCAACCACTGCAGCACGAGTTTGATCCCCGGCCAGGGAGATAACCACATGGCACAGCAGACCTCTCCTGTCTCCCCTCTGCTCCCCTCAGCAGTGTATTTCAGTAGATCTGCCTGTTCTGTTCCCCACTCTGCCTCTGGTGAATTCTCTTACCCCCCACACATTAGGCCTGTACCCCAGTTCTTGTATGTATAAATAAATAAATCTTCATCCGCAACCTATGGCTTACAGGATATACAACACCAGGTGGTAAAATCTTGCCTAGTGCCCACAGGCCATGCTTTGCTGACCTGGACCTAAGGACCACCCAGGGGGGTGCCCTTCCCTTTGCCCCCACCCTGACACCACCCTGATTTGCCCACCAATCTAGTCCCTAAACGCTCTCACCTAATTTCCTCCCTCTGCAAATGTTCCTTTCCCTTTTTTTGCCTCATTTGCCATAAAGAAACAGGCATAAAAAAAAAAAAAAAACAAGCTTCAAACATTTTGATCAGTTACTCATTCAACACACATTAACAACCGGGTCCTTGGCAATAGAACTAAAAACAAAGTGAAGGTGGTAGGTAGAATCCAAGGAGAAACACTCTGAGAAGAGACTCCAATCCCTGCTGTTATTTTATCTCTCTGAGGCTCGTTTCCTCATCTGTGAAGTAAAGGGGAAGGCCAAACCGTCTCATCTAGTCTATGAAGTTAGTCATTCATCCAGGTTTCTCTGGTCATCCCATCTTGACCTAACTCTATTCTCTGCTTCCTCTGGAACCTCCAGCCTTCTCCAAACCCCTCTGGCTTTGCCCTGGTCTAAAGCCTAGATATTCTGCATACACCCTTTCTCTCCAATCCCTGATGCAAAAGTTCCCCTCCTCCTTACCCTGGGGGCCCCCAGGCCCAGCACACCTGTTAACAGAAGAAATCTGTGAATCATGGTTGAAGAAGCAGAAATCTCGCATACTTCAAGCCACTTCAAGAAAGCATCAGACCTAGAAGGGGCAGAAAAAGAGAAGTAGGAGGGAGAAGTTGCTTGAAGTCACAGAGGAAGAGGGTGGAGGCACTGTTCGTAAACATCTGCACAGTCTTCCTTACATAGGCTGTTCTCCTTCCCTCCCCAGCTTTCTGGCTCAAGCCAACAAATCTTTTCCCCAAAGATGTCATTTGTCATGGACATTCATCATCCACCTGCTCCTGTGGTCAAAGTGTTATGAAAAACTAGCTGAATAGACTTAGGGCCCGCCTCCTAGAACGTGCATCCTAAATGTTAATAGAAGCCAAGCAGGTATGGGAGAGCACACTCATGTCTCCCTGAGGGCATACTTTGCAGAATGTCCTTCTCTCCTGCCCAAGGAAATGGGAGAAGACGTCAGCCAGAGCTGTGCTGCTTTGTAATTATCAGTAGCCATAACTCAGGCACCAAGAAATAGCACCAAGAAATATTTATTATATAGAGCCGTGCTTTACTTAACGACAAGATACATTCTGAGAAATGTGTCAATAAGTGAGTTCATGGTTGTTTGAATGTCATAGAGTATAATTACACAAACTCAGGTGGCATCACCTACTGAACACCTAGGCTATGTGGTACAGCCTCTCCAGACCACCGTCATATTTGTGGTCCATCCTTGGCTATAATCCTGTTAAGTGACATAGGACTGTATTATTATTTTGCTTTTAAAAAACTATTACTTTGCTCTTTTTTTTTTTAACAAAAGCCTAAGTCCTTTGCCCAGGAATTTTCACTTCCAAGACTTTACCATAAGAAATAACTTAGATGTACAGTTAAGATGTATGTATGCTTGTTCATTGCAACACTCTTTTTAATAGAGAACATTAGAATGGCTTGAAGATCTAACAACAGAGGAAAGTTGAATGATGTCTCATTCTGTGATATGTCCTTACATTTCTTGTTTAGTCACGTCTAAATCCATTTTCAAAGATACATGAGAATATTTTCATGAAATATATCGAGCACCGGGCCTCCCCGGTGGCGCAGCGGTTGAGTGCTGGGTTGCGAAGCTGCCCGCGGCCTCTGCGGCGCTGGTTCGATCCCTGGCTGCTCCCCGGCCACCGGAGGAGGGTCCCACATGGCGCGCAGACCTCTCCTGCCGCCTGCTGCTCCCCTCAGCAGTGTACTTCGGTCCTTCTGCCTGCTCTGCTCCCCGCTCTGGCTCTGGTGAATTCTCTCACCCTCCCGCACTTCTGACTGTACCCAATGCATGTATAAACAAACAAACAAACAAACAAACAAATAAATAAAAGCATGCCTCTATAAAAAAAAAAAGAAAAAGAAAAGAAATATATCGAGCACCAACTGCAAAACCTTGACTGTGACTGCTAATGGGATTCTAAAGAAATGATTTTCTTTCACTGTCTCTCTTACATTTTCTCTTGCCCCTAGTACTACTTTCTTACTAACTCGATGGGAATAAATGCTTGCTTTCTGAAAAAAAAAAAAATCCATTAAAATTTTGTTTTTAAATCACCTATTTAAAAAATATGTGCGTGGGCCTCCCCAGTGGCACAGCGGTTGAGCGCTGGGTTGCGAAGCTGCCCGCAGCCTCTACAGCACTGGTTCGATCCCCGGCTGCTCCCCGGCCACCGGAGGAGGGTCCCACATGGCGTGCAGACCTCTCCTGCCGCCCGCTGCTCCCCTCAGCAGTGTACTTCGGCCCTTCTGCCTGTTCTGCTCCCCGCTCTGCCTCTGGTGAATTCTCTCACCCTCCCGCGCTTCTGACTGTACCCAGTGCTTGTATAAATAAAGAAATAAATCTTTTAAAAAAAAAGTGTGCATCGGAAAAACAAAATATTAATAAAGATTATCTCCAGATGGTAGGATTCTGGGTGTGTTCTGGTCATATCACTACCACTCCTACCTTAATGACTTAAAATGGCAACTTAAATCATTGTCTTGTGGTCCTGTGGCTTGCCTTGACTCAGCGCTTTTAAGGAATCTCAATGTTCACAGTCTGGTCATGGCAGACAAACGTCATTCCAAGGGGCAGTTGGGCTGGATTTTCAAATGGATAACACACATGGCTGCAGTTGGTGCTGGCTCAGGCAGGGAGTCCATTTTGGGGCTCTCACCTGGAGCACCTACTTGGTTTCTTTATGGGAATTGGGCTTCTCACAGCAGGGGGGTTAGATTTCAAGAGTAAGTGTTCCCAAACTGAGACAATTCTCAAGAATTGAAAACTGGGGCCTCCCTGGTGGCACGGCGGGTTGAGCGCCACACTGTGAAGCTGTCTGTAGCCTATGCAAAGCGGGTTAGATCCCAGCCAGCCAGTAAGAATCCCACATGGCGCAGCAGACCTCTCCTGTCGCACCCGCTGCTCCCTCAGCAGTGTATCTCTGTTATCTGCCTGTTCTTCTCCCTGCTCTGCCTCTGGTGAATACTCTCACCCTCCCGTGCCTCTGGCCTGTACCCCAGCTCTTGTATAAAAATAAATAAATCTTAAAAAAAAAAAAGAATTGAAAACTTCTAGTGTCCTAAAGCCACAAGGTCACTTCCTCAATATTCTATTGGTCAACAGAGCTCATCCACATTCAAGGAAGAGGACCTAGATCCCACCTGTCAAGGGAAGGTATGTCAAAGAATTTGTCAATTTCAGTATCCCAAAGGATGATTTTACATTTCGTCTATATATTTTTGTATTTAAAACTCTTATACAAAAACAAGTGACTTTGATAATCAAAAAGAAGATAAAAATGCCAATAAATAATTAGAAACAACAGTGTGTATACTTGTTACACAAAAGACTGAGGAAAGAGAAATGAGGCTGTGGGTCCAGGATGAGAGCATTCCAACCAGAACATAGGAGATTAATGGAATAGCTAAGCTGGGTTTGTTACTGGAACCCAGCCATCTTAGTAGTGGTCCATTCACTCAGGGGTGGAGAGGCCTCTTTTGAGGGTTGGAGTCCCTTCGTGGTTGCCAGCTGAAACAGGGGCGGAGAGGGCCACAAGAGAGGGTCTCTGAGACCAGACAGCCACAGAAAGCCCCAAGAGGCCAAAAGGCCAAAAACCAAAAACAAGAGTTATAACCTAACAGAGGACAGTGCCCGATAAGAGGACAGGTCACTGTCTGTGGGTCTCACCTGCGCACACAATTGCAAGAGACCGCAGGCTCCAGGGACAACAACCACGGGGTTTATTTACAAATAGGAGAAGCAAAGAGCTCACTGTATCCACAAGTGGCAGCTGCTCACCCAGGTACCAACAACAAACAGCTTTTTGAGGCACCAGGCCCAGGGCCTTTGATGCTCCTTTCAGGCAATGTCAGAGACAGGCCCGAGGCCCAGTCCGTGACCCAGTCCTTCTCTTCCCTCCTCGGAGGGCAGCTGCTGGATGCTTCTGTTCCTCTTGATTCGAAGGCTGGAACTGTCTTCTTTTCTTCAGGGGCTGGCATCATCTCCCCTTCTTCTTCGGGGGCCCTGCTCATCTTCTTCAGGGCTGGGGTCGTTGTCCCCTTTCCTTCGGTGGCCTCTCATGTCCTCTTCTGTCTTTAGGGGCTGTCTTAGCTCCTTCCAGCCCTGGCTTACCCTCTTTCACCCACAAGTCTGATTGGACCATTTAGCACCACTCAGCTCACAGCTCACACCTGATTGGTCCATTACAAATGGCAGTTACTGAGCTCTGCTGTCGTAGAAATAAATTCCTGCCTTTTACCCAGGCAGAGGAAGAACAAGCGATACTTCAGGAAAGGTGAGGTCAGGAAAAGCTATATTACTCATGCATGAGGTCCCAGACTGGGTAGCCCGGTAAGGTCTGAGCACCTGTTTAAAGACCAAGGGTTCCTTTTATACCCAACTGTCTCCATATCTGTTACATTGATAGCATCGTTTTTCAGCAGGCACAGCCATTTGCGGCAAAGTCCCCAGACAAGGGGGGTACAGCAAGGGGGGAAAGATGCAGGCATTCAGGGATGGTCTTGGAGAGATAGACCAGCTGGTTGGCTGCCCGACCCCAGGGTGCTGAGACCCTGGCCATGAATCTTGCAAGGGAAGGAGCTGTAAGTAAGCAAACTTGTTCATTATGCCTGTATTGGAGTGTTCATTGCACCTGGGCTGGAAGTTCTGCTGGAGTCTTTATTGTATTCATTTATTCAATAATGTATTTTCTCATCACTGCCACAACTGACTTATGGTGGGCAGCAGGGTTGACCCTGTCCTGCCGGCTCTCTCCATTAAGATGGCTGGGTTCCAGCATCAGGTTTATTTTTTGTTAAGAAATTTTCACACCCTGACCGCCACAGGAAGTTTCTATAGTTCAGACTTCATGGCCCCTCCTTGTTCTGAACAGAAGTCAACAGCCCACAACCTATAAAGGCACATGCAAAATATCTCAGAATCTCTACCCAGTTTGCAGTCTTTCTCAATGACTTCAAATATGTAGAGATGAATGGGATAAGGCAAAAGCAGCACTAAGGAGGATATAAAGTTATCCTGTAGTTACATAAAACTATAAACACATTAAAATGAAAGAAATATCTCAACAGCCTAACTTCATAATTTAAGGAAACAGAAATTCCAATGGATTTTCCATTCAGATTGTGAATTTTTAAATGTAAGGATAGGGTAGGTTCTGTTAGTATGATTTAGTAACAAACAATACCAAAATCTCAGTACCTACTATAACAAAAGTTTTGTTTCTTGTTTGTCCAAAAGTCACTATCTTCCCAAGCAGCTGTTTTCCATGTGTTTATCAGAAATCCAATTCGTTTTGGTGGCATCGATGTTCCACATTAATGTGTGCCTCCATGATCACCAAAGCAGAAGAAAAATGTATGAACACAGGCTCTTAAGTGCATTTACCTGAGAATGAAATACATCACTTCTGCTCACATTTTGTTGACCAAAGAAATCATATGTCCCACTCCCAACTTGAGGAGGAGGAAATGTAATCATCTCCTCTGCCTGAAAGTAGAGGAAAATATTAGTTATCAGTGGTGACAGCTATCTTGACATCATAATTACAAATTTGAGATAATGTGAATAAAACTGTGTTTCTAACATCAAATCAAACTAAACAGAATGTAAGACACCTTGTTTGGGGAGCCAAAGGTTAAAAACAGACACCATTTGCTTAGCATCTTACAAGTCATTCTCATAGACATAACCTGTTGTGATACTCATGCTCAAACAGTGAGTTCAATGCTGCCGTTAATTATAATTGTCATTTCTCTTGGGTGGAAGTTCTTAGGTTTAATGTCACCAACTTTATTATTAGCTCTTTTGTGACTGATTGAAGTTAAATTTTCTTTTCACCAATACACTCTTCTCATATATTTGTTTCACTTTTATTAAAATTTTTAATTTGCATAGTGTATTTTTTTGTGTGTGATGTGAAATAGAGCATCCAATTTCTTTTTTGTCCATATGAACCAATAATTTTCCAGTTCTGTTTACAGGCACTCTTCAGGGATTTTGCAGATTTGATTGAATACCCCTGCAATAAAGAAACATCACTTTTTTTTTGGTTTGCCAATGCATATAAAAATTAAGTTCAAACTATACTGTAGTCTGTTAAGTGTGCAAGCATTATGTCTTTTAAAATGTATGTACCTTATTATAATTAGTCTTTTTCCTGGTCCCTTATTTAGGTTTTCTAAATTTCTGCTATGAGTGAGACCATCCAGTATTTTTCTTTTTCTTTCTGGCTTATTTTGCTGAGCATGATCCTTTCCAGCTCCACCCATGTTGCTGCAAATTGCATAAGTTTATCTTTTTTGATTGCTGAATAATATTCCATTGTGTATACGTACCACATCTTCTTGATCCAGTCATCTATTTTGGAGCATTTGGGTTGTTTCCATAGCTTACTATTGTAAACAGGGCTACTATAAACAGAGGTGTGCAGGTGCCCTTTTGAATTAATGTTTCTGTGTCCTTTAGGTAAATACCTAGGAGTGGAATTGCTGGATCATATGAAAGCTCTATATTTAGCAGGTTGAGGAATCTCCACACAGCTCTCCATAGTGGTTGGACCAGTTTGCACTCCCACCAACAGTGCAGAAGAGTTCCTTTTTCTCTACTTTCTCGCCAACATTTGTTGTTGCAAGTTTTTTTAATATATGCCATTCTCACTGGTGTAAGATGGTATTTCACTGCAGTTTTGATTTGCATTTCCCTGATTACAAGTAAAAATAAAAATCAACAAGCAACTATAAACCAGAGACATGGGGGGGTGCGGGGAGAAGGGAGTAGGATCAAAACAAGGAGGGTGGGAATTGCCTGGGAACTATAACCAAGATGAAAATGCATACGTTGTGCAAAAATGAAAAATGATGTAAAAAATATATTTAAAAAATTAAAATATATATCTGCTATAATCCATTTAAAAATATATGTACCTTAATTTTAAAATATTTTATTGTTAAAAATTGTCAACCATTCATTTGAACCTTTGGTGAGTCATTTGCTGGTGCATTTGCTGGTGGAGGGTCCTGTCTCAATGCTGATGGCTACTGATTAAGCAGGGTAGTGGTTGCTGAAAGTTAGGGTAACTATGGCAATTTCCAAAAAGAAGACAACAGTGTGGTTTGCAAACTTGTTTTGCTTCCTTTCATGAAAGCTATCTCTGTGGAGTGTGATGTTGATTGGCAGCATTTTACGCACGATAAAATTTAGAAGTTGGACTAGATCCTCTCAAGGCCTGCTTTATCATGCAAGTTTGTATAATATTCAAAATCCTTTGTTGTCACTGCAACATCTTTGCCAGGAGGAGATTCCATCATAAGAAATCACTTTCTTTGCTCATCCATAAGAAACATCTCCTTATCCATTAAAGTTTTATAAAATTGGGGCTTCCCCTGGTGGCACCGGTTGAGGCTGGGTTGTGAGGCTGCCCGCAGCCTCTGCAGCGCTGGTTCGATCCCCGGCCACCGGCAAGGGTCCCACACACACACAGAAAAAAAAGTTTTATAAAATTGCAGCAATTTGGTAACATCTTCAGGATCCCCTTTTAATTCTAGTTCTCTTGCTATTTACACCAAATCTGCAGTTATTTCCTGGACTGAAATCTTGAACCCCTCCAGATCATTCAAGAGGGTCAGAATTTCTTCCAAACTCCTGGTTTTTTTTCTTTGAAGATTTATTTATTTATGCATACAAGAACTGGGGTACAGGCCAGAGGTGTGGTAGGTGAAAGAATTCACCAGAGACAGAGTGGGGAACAGAACAGGCAGACGGACCAAAGACACTGCTGAGGGGAGCAGTGGACGAGACAGGAGAGGTCCACTGCACCATGTGAGAATCTCCCCCCACTCCCCAGGCCAGGAATCTGACCCGGGCTGCCAAGGCTGTGGACAGCTTCACAGCGCTGCACTCAAACCGCTGCGCTCAACCCGCTGCGCCACCAGGGAAGGCCCGAATAATGAATGTTCTTAATGACATCTAGAATGATGAATCTTTCCAGATGTCAATTTACTTGGTCCAGGTCCACCAGAGAAATCACTGTCTATGGCAGCAATAGCCTTATGAATTATGTTTCTTAAATAATAAGATTTAAAATTTGGGATTATTCCTTGACCCATGGGGTACAGAATGAATGTTGTGTTAGCGGGCATAAAAACAACATCTCCTTGTACATCTCAATCAGAATGCTTGAGTGACCAGATGCATTGTCAATAAGCAGTAATATTTTGAAAGGAGTCTTTATTTCTGAGCAGCAGATCTCAACAGTAAACAATGTTGTAAACATCAATCTATCATCCATCCAGGCTTTGTTGCCCCATTTATGGAATACAGGCAGAATAAATTCTGCATAATCCTTAAAGGGCCTAGAGTTTTCAGAATCATAAATGAACATTGGCTTCCACTTCAAGTTGCATTCAACTGCATTAACCACAAACGAAAACATCAATCTGTCTTTTGAAGCTTTGAAATCAGGCAGGCACTGACTTTTCCTCTCTAGCTATGAAAATCCTAGGTGGCATCTGCTTCCAATATAAGACTGTTTTACCTACACTGCATATTTTCGTCCAGTGTAGCCACCTTCATGAATGACTTCAGGCATTCATGAATGAATGACTTCAGGCATTCATGAATGACTTCTGGATAATTTGCTACAGCTGCTACATCAGCAGGTACTGAAATACCCTGCATTTTGATGCCATGGGGAGGGCTTCTTCCCATAAACCTCATGAACCAAGCTCCCCTAGCTTCAAACTGTCTTCTTCCTCACCTCTCCCAGCCTTTGTAGAACTGAAGAGAGTAAGTCCTGGATTAATTATTGGCACAAGGGAATGCTGGCATGGTTTAATCTATCCAGACCACTAGAACTTTCTCTATATCAACAATAAGGATGCTCCCCTTTCATATCACTTGTGTGTTCATTGGAGTAGCACTTCCAAATTCCTTCAAGAACTTTTCCTTTGTAGTCACACTTGGCTTTCAGTCTGACTCAGCTTTTGACAGGCCTTCCTCACTAAGCTTGCTCATTTCTAGCTTTTGATGTAAAGTGAGAGCTATGCAAGGCTTCCTTTCACTCGAACACTTAGAGACCATTGCAGGGTTACTCACTGGCTTGATTTCAAAA